CCTAATGTCCATACTCCAATGCTGCCTCTAGTGCCTTAGGAAAAAGTCGACGACAGATCAAAGGGAGCGGGATAAAAACTTTGATCCTGTTCTTTCCGAAACTCTCGCACCTTTCTGTCATACTCGTCCCGTTAAATGGGGATCGTAATACAGGCACTTTCCAGCGAGCCAAATATTGCCACCCAACCCCCTCTCCGGCAACTGAAGTACGACCGTTTGTTAATGAATCCTCAGCTACGCATCATCTGAATCGAAGTCGACTGAAAGGAGAATAATAGACCAGCGAACTGGTCAGTAGGCATCACGATCGAAACCCTGAGCGGAGCCCTTTCTTGTTTGGAAATTAGACGGCAGTTCCGAAAACCAAATAGGTGCCAAATGAATTATTAAAGAAGAACAGGAAGAATGCTCACGCACCGCCAGGTTGTGAATGTGCCGTTGCGCTCTCAACAGTACTTCGTGATCAGCATGTTCAGTAGGTGTGTGCTTGATTAGTTGCTTGACAAGTAGTTCATATCTGAAATTGATCTGAAATTAAAACTGGTTCAACCGAACTTACACTCCTTATCCCTGAGCCAGAGTAGGCGTGAAATTTGAACATGGCACGGAACTGGTTACTCGTGGAATATTCCAGCCTGGGACAACTGTCATCTGTTCTGCGGGGACAGAGACACGACAACAATTGTGTCAGGATGAAAATAACTCAAACAGAATGAAAATTAACAAACCATTAAAGTCGTGTCAGCGTTTACAGTCGAAGCATCTCGGCACGCTAACCCGATCTGCAAGGGATTTCGAGTATATTTATTTAGGTTGTTCCATAAGTTTTTATTACACGTGTTTGAGGTCCTCTCCTATTCGTTGGATTTGGTATTACGTCATCACGTGTGCGTGACGTGTACATTATACTCTTTCATTACACTAGCTATCACTCACCGAGCTTGCATTTGCAGTACACAATGTCGCACAATTTGCACTGTGACAAAACGTACCTGCGCCACTGTTTGGTTTTGCTCCACGATTTCGGCTGAATGCAAAGGGGAAGGGGGCCCATACCAAGTGGTGGATACCATGACGGTGAGGGACGATCATCTCTACATGAAATGCAAGAATTTTGGTTCGCCAATTTTCAAGAGAGGAGGGACTTTCTCTCGAAATACTCAGAGTCGTGCCGACGATGGAGTTGGATTTGGAAGTACTACGTTCACGTGGAGGAGGACCCGTACCTCACCACCAGAGAAATGGCGACCATGCTTAGCTATGATCATTCGACGGTTGCACGTGGACTAGAAAAGCTCGGCAAGGTAGCAAAGCTTGGTCGATGGGTCCCACATGAACTGTCCGCTTATGACCTCTCGAGGAGGGTGACCACCTGCACTTTCTCTCCTTCACTTTCGGAAAAGTAGGCTCACTTTCTCAACTCTATGATCACTGGAGATGAGAAGTGGGTCCTCTACGATAACCCTGTGAGGAAGCGGCAGTGGGTCGACAAAGAAGAACAGCCAGAAGCCACCCAAAGGCCGACCTTCACCCTTAAAGGTTCTCACTGTCCTGTGGTGGGTTCCAGAAGAGGGCATGGAGAGTACTGGGAGCTGCTGGAGAAGGGACAGACGATTGACGCTTCCACATACGTGACCCAGCTGCGGAAATTGAAAGATCACGTCGACCGTACGTGGAAGGAATGCGGAAATCTACTTCCACCATGACAACGCCCGACCTCACACTGCAAAGGCGACCCAGGCCGAGCTGGAGAAGTATGGATGGCTGATGGTCGCCCACCCTCCCTACAGCCCTGACCTCGGCTCCTTCTGACTACTGGCTGTTCAGCCACCTGCAGCGCTATCTGGACGGAAAAAAGTTCGAAACAAAGGATCAGGTCAGAAAGGCGCTCGACGACTTCTTCAAGTCCCAGCCTCCGTCGTTCTGGAAGGATGGAATCGACAAGCTGCCTGAGCGCTGGCGTCGAGTAGTGAATGGTGATGGTGCATACCTCTAATCTCCAGGCTGGTTCGTTTTGAGATATTTACAAAAAAGTCGTGTATAAGAACTTATGCAACAACCTAATAGAATATGAAAAAATTTTAAGTGCGGTGGACGCCGTGAAATAAACAAAGTGATCAAAAAGTGACTACCAACTTTCAAGGGTCTGAACTTACACTACTGTATGCCTACTTTGATGGAAGCTTAGACAGTGCCATTTTGGAGGTTCTCCATTGTTTCCTATCATGGAAGTGCACGTGCCGACAAGGCACGACCCAACCCTGTAGGAAGAAGTGAGCCCGACGAAATTAGCTCTTAAACCCGGGGAATGTTGAATGGCGGCGCCAATACACTGCCGCTCACGTTAAGGTTTTAGTGCGAATTTTCTAAGCATTCGGAGGGCTGTGCTGCTGCTTTGCAAACCTTACAGAGAATTTGTCTGATCGAGGCCAAACTTAGGCTTGCCTTCATACTTTGCAGGCAGCGTCGCCAGCGCCCTAGTACCGTCACTGCGTTTCGAAGAGTCCGCAGCGTCAGCCACTGCGGAAAGGTATAGATTTATTCGATCCTCCAACCCGCGTCTGGCCAAGCGTGTCCCAGGCGTTTGCCAAATCTACAGCGGATCCCAGCGTTCTGCGAGAGCAGAGTATGAGCCACCATAGGAGGGTAGCAAACAAGTTGGTACCTCATAATAAACGGCCATTGTTTCTATCAGGCACTCTGCACCGGTCTTATCTTCCAGTTGCTATGCAGTGAGCTACCGCTTCTTACCTCTCCCCCGTACTACACCGCAGCCACCTAGCTCTTCCTATCTCTCCAGTAACACTGGCGCAGCTGACTGCTACCCTTCCATCGCGCATATATTACTGTTCTTCTCCGGGGACGCTGATAGACACTGGTGCACGCTGGCACACGCTGGTAGGCGCCAGATCGATACCTACACTTCCCAGGCCCTCAAGACGCTGCTGGACGTGAGTAGGCGCTGTCGAGTCGGTTGGGAGCTTGTTGGTACACTCTGGTAGGATCCAGGCTAGATGATATTTACACTTGCCAGTCGCTGACGCTCGAAAACGCTAGTGGACAATACTGCGCGCAAAGTAATGAACGGAGGCCTTAAAAAACGGCTTGTCGTGAACTTTCTGTGGCGTACCTGGGTACTCTCTGAATTGGTGAGATCAGTAACGAATCGAGATCGAGCTTGCTTCGATGATCCCGACAGCATCTCTGAAAAGTTTATTTTACTTGAGTTGTCATTAGTGAAGAAACTTGCAAATTTTCTCGGTTAATAGTACAGCAGTTAGCATCAAACGTAATAGGTACAACTACCTGGGGCGGGGCGCTTACTGGAATGGTGGAAAGGGAGTCAGATGGAGGTCCAATTGCCTCTCGCAGCGTTTCCACTGATTAACGTTGCAGTAACTAGGCGGCCCCCGCCCCTTGCGCACACTGGCCCTTAAGGCTGAAGCGATCAATGCGGTTTTTGTCTCTGCTTGCCTAATAAAAGTCTATCCCTGATCTGGAAAGCGGATAGCAGGCACTCTATCCCGAGCTCTCTTTGAGTTCTGATCAACTAGCTCTGCCAAGGGCTTGACCACTAGGGATGGAGGTACCGCGTAGCCACAACCGATTATGTTTCCTAACTCCACTAAACACTGCCACGAGGAACTTTTCAGTTTCATCGTTTTGGAATATCTTGGTCATTCACAGAGAGATCCTACAACTTTGAAACCAGGACATTTGTGAACTATTGAAACGGAGATTCAATGTATTGACTCCATTATATATGTAATTTGCTTTGTTGTTTGTTTGTTTGTTTGTTTGTGAGTTTGTGAGTTTGTCTGTCCGGAAATTCGGTTCGACCTGAAGAACGACTTGGAGAGGTCGGGTCAAGGTGGGGATGGGTAGGGCATGGGACAAGAAATAAAAAGCACACTTGACCTATGGGAAGCCCCGCCCACAGTGGGCGGGGCACTCGCCGAAAGTTTGGGGTTCCGCAGAAAAATGTTCATAATTCGCTTCCGGAGCAGCTTAAAGATGGGGAAAAAAGAGGAATAGGTTAGTAAGTTAGTCGCCAGGATTACTATTGGCGGGGGACACATCCAAAATGGGCGGGGCGTACTCAAGGTGGGCGGTGCTTCTCGCAAAATTCAGTAACCCGGTTCGCGAGAGTGTTTGGAAGTCGCAAAAGACTCACTGAGAATGGAAAATAATCTGTGCGAAAATAGGGCACGCTCAAAGTGTGTTGAGACCCGCCCACAGTGGGCGGAGCTTGCCCTAAATCGCAGGGTATTCATTTTAAAAGTTTGTAGCTCGGTTCCAGAACACTCCAGACACCGGAAAAAAGTGAACAAAGGTCAGCAGAGGTCGCCGGTGAGGGTTGTGGGGCAAAAACGTGTGGGCGGGAGCCTTGCTCGAGGGTGGGTGGAGCAAACAAGCAGGTCCTGTAAAAAACGGTTCCAGAGCACTTCAAAGACCGGAAAAAACGTGGATTAAGGTCAGCAGAGGGTCGCCGGTGAGGATTGTGGGGCACAAAACGTTTGTGGGCGGGGCTGCTCTTTGAGGTGGGGCGGAAATCAGACGAAGAGTCTGTGAAATAGCTCAAGAGTACTTCAGACACCGGAAAAAAAGTGGAGTACAGAACAAAAGGCGGATATCAGTTGAGTCTAGAAATATGTGAAAGAAAATACGCGCGGCGAAGCCGCGCTCGCCCGGCGCAGCCGGGCCGTATCAGAAGGAGGCGCGCGCCGTGTAGCCGGGACGAAGCACTGGTTATTTAATATCAAACTAGGAGATCCCATGTTGATGGCATCGTTACAAAATCAGGGAAGTGCAAGGCGTCGCTGCGCGGTCGTGTGTATCAGACTAATTTGATCGACTAGGGAAGTTGTTCGCGTCGTCGCGCTGTTACGCGGCTGTAGTGCGTCGCGCCAAGCGTAACCAATCGCAAAGCGCCCGTGCCCAGGGATGCAGCAGCCAAATCCGGAAATAGATTGACGCCGCCCGCTTGCGTTTGAGGGAGTATAAATGAGAGGGCAACAGGAGGGGACAAACCTGCGTTTGCACGATTGGTTACTCTCCCAGAGCCCCAAGCGGGCCAATTGCCGATCCATAGCACTTTGCGACCAGGCGTGTGGCATAACCCTTTGTTTCACCATGACTCCTTTTCTCAATACACAATCGGCCATCGCGATAATTCCAGTCGGAGCTGCATTTCACAGGATTAAAGCGCCGTTGCAATTGCAGCTCGTCGACGCGCGCTACAGCGCGTCATCGTGATGTCTGATCGCTACCTAAGGTGAAGTAAGTAGCTCCGTGTCAACACAAAAGTGCAATGATTTCCTGTCACGCATCCTGATTTCAAAATCTGCCTACGCATCGTATTGCGCTATTGGGACCGAAGATTGAAGATAGGTTGGAAGGTGGTTAACTCTAAGCAGCCCATCCTAAATATCGTCTTTTTATAGGGAAAACCTACATTGTAGTATTTCTCGAACGATGGCTTCCCACGAGCTTGTGTGATAGCAGCTTTAGCGAATTTGAAGTTGTCTACGAACGAGATGTACGTTTCGATCATCGATTGCTTTGCAAACTGAAACCTATTGATTGGTAACAAAATACAAACTTTACTCCATAGAAACTAACATCCACAGCAGCGGAATTTTTTTTGTCGTTGGTATAACTCCTTATCTCTGAGATGCAATAGGCGTGGCTCTGTGACTTCATTTTAACATGGCGCATGACGGGTTATTCGTGGAGCATTTTAATTCAGGAAAAATATCGTCTTGCCTTGTGTTCGACAGCGATATCATTACAATACTGCCCCAAGTCCGAACGATGTACGCAGTCACGCCTACCACACCTCAGGGATTTGGGGTATAGAAGGTCCTAATCACATAGGGAGCCCACAAGTTCTGTGAGAATAAAGGATATGAGCCCACATGTGACAGCAGAACGTCGCCGATGACGCTATCCTTGTCCCATTCTTCGATTCTTGAGCTGAGAGCGGCAAGAAGTACCTAAACGAGTAATTAAACATTTCCAGCCGGACTGGAATTGTATTGAGACGGAAGGTATTAGAAAGAATCTACCTGATGATGGGCCAACACTTCTGGAACTTTGTAGAAAATCTTGTCAGCCAATCCGGATTCGATGAAGCGTACACTCTAGTGGTTGTCGCAAAGGCCGCATGTATTTCTGTGAAAAACTCCATTAGAACATGACCTGAGAAACTGCAAGTTGTCAGCCAGGACAAACATGCCTACCGGACAGCCCCGCCCACCCTCTAATAAAGAAGAAGGTCTCGACTAATAAAGAATGCAGTTCTTG